ATTTAAAATGCCTGAAGCATTAAGTGAAAAAACCAAAGAAATGTATTCTATAAAATTGCAAAGATCTTTGTATGTGTTAAAGCAATTTGGACGCTTGTGGTATAATCGTTTAAACAATTCTTTGACAAGTAAATGTTATAAAAATAACACTATTTGTCCATGCATATTTATTAAGAAAACAACATCTAGGTATGTGATCATAGTGGTCTATGTTGATGATTTAAACGTCATTGGAATGAATAAAGAAATCCATAAAGGGATTGAATTTTTAAAGAAAGAATTTGAAATGAAAGATCTTGGAAAAAAATATTGTCTTGGTTTGCAGATTAAGCATATGTCTAATAGAATACTTGTGCATCAATCAAATTATACATAAAATGTCTTGAAATATTTTAATATGGCCAATGTCAATCCTTAAAGCACCCCAATGGTTATTAGATCATTAAATATTGAAAAATATCCATTTCATCCCCGTGAAGAAAATGATGAAGTTCTTGGTCCCGAAGTACCATATCTAAATGCAATTGGGGCTCTTATATATATTAGCAATTTTACTAGACCCGATATATCTTTCGTTGTAAACTTGCTAGCAAGGTTTAGTTCATCCCCAGCAAAAAGACATTGAAACGAGATCAAACATATTTTGCGATACTTTCGAGGAACTATTGATTTAGGGTTATTTTATAATAATGATTCAAAACAAGGTTTGATTGGTTATGTAGATGCAGGCTATTTATTTGATCCTCATAAAGCTAGATCTCAAATTGGATATATATTCATGAACGAAGGCAGCGTAATTTGTTGGTGCTCTCAAAAGCAAACACTTGCCGCCACTGTAACACTCTAAAAATTCAAACCAATTTAAACTTTTAAAAAACAACCCAGTTTCATTAAATTATTACCAAAAAGGTTTTCAACACAATTATTATCAGAGTCTTCCCAGAACCATATCGTAAAACATAAACATAAGGAGCGGTACGATCACGCCTTCGCCTTGCCACGGTCTCCCGAAGTACCTGAAAAACATTAAACAACAACTGTAAGCCCGAAAGCTTAGTGAGATACCCCCAAAATACCAACCTCATATGCCACGCATAACATATCATAACTGAACAGAACAGCCATGCACTTCGGGTCTACTGTATGACTGGTCCGCCGCACCGGGCCTTTAGTCCACCTGGTCCACCTTCCAAGTCTAGCCATATCCCTCGAGTCTGTAGTGTGGTTGGTCTGCCCGCACCGAGCCTTCAACCCACCTGGTCCACTCTCTGAGTCTACAGTATGACTGGTCCGCCCGCATCGGGCCTTCAGTCGACCTGGTCCACTCTCCGAGCCTCATCACGTCTGGTCCGCCCTCGTGGGGCCTACAGCCTATCCGGACTGCTCGTTGGGCCTTCGGGATAACCGGTCTGCCCTGGGTATGTTGGCCTACGGCACAAAGCAGGACCCGCCTCAACCCAACCCCAGTCAAACAACCATGTGCACATAAACATACAATCATATAACAATTCACATCCAATCAAACCGATCTAGCAGATCACATAACATAACATACTCTAAATAGGATACCGACCTAACCGGTCACTAGCATAACATCATTCTATATATGAGGATACCGACCTTAACCAGCTCTCTAACATATACCATCCTAACTACCAGGATGTAAACACATCAAAGAAACAACATAACAACGATACCCGGATTACAATCCGATAAAGGGCCGGCCTTGCTGCCTAAGACCATGTTGATATAGTGAGGATAACTCACCTCGTAATTGCTGACTAAAAAGATAAGATCACGCTGCTCCAACCTCCGACACGAACTCCACCACTGATAATACCAAAAGACAGAACTCAATAAATACCAATAATTACCAAATTACCCCTGGAAGTCTACTAGTTAACTCTTGGTCAAAGTCAAAGTCCTCAGTCAAAGTCAAACTTCCTGACTGACCCTACTCGCCGAGTCCCACGCACTCTGAGTCACTTCCTGCTCAACTCACCGAGTCGTCCCTTAGCTCATCGATTCACAGCTCAACCAGGAAAGGTTAGGACCTCACGACTAGACTCGCCGAGTCCAAGGCTATCTTCACCCAACTCGCTGAGTTGTTCTTCCAACTCGTCGATTTGCTGCCTATCTTCAAGCAACTCGCAGAGTACACCCATGTGACTCGCTGTGTACCACTAGCTCTTAACCCATACAGAGGCTTTCCAAGCCATGCAGGGTCTCAAATCCATAGATCTACTCTTCTACAAGCTAATCCTCATGCAAAGTTGCAAACTTTACGTGAATCCAAAGAGATTTAAGCATATAACACTCTTGGTCTAGGTTTTGGGACAAAAGAACTTCACCGACAACTCTTGAGCATAGACTTTATGGCTTTCTGGATCATTAACAACCTAGATCTGAGGTAGCAACCTCAAATCTTACACCAAACTTGATATGGACCTCATTCATACCACAAAAACCCCACAATTGATAGATCTATATACACAAAAGCTCAAACAGCAGATTATTACCTCAAATGAAAGCTCCAACTGAAGAATAAGCTAAATCTTTGCAAAGCCCCTTACTCCAACCTTCTTGTTCTTCACTTCCCCTCTAAGATTTCCTCCTCCAAGGCTCTATATGCTCTCCAACTCTCTCACAACCGAAAGCTAGGGTTTCTGGACTTCAAGGGAGAGTAAAGAGGCTGGGGAGAGGGTATTATGTTCTTTATATAGGGCTCAACCCCCGGGATTAGGGTTTTTCCTCCACACAACACCAACTCGCCGAGTCCATCCATGCGACTCGCCGAGTTGGTCACTTAACATGCGACCTGAAACGCGACTCTACTCGCCGAGTCTATACATCGACTCGCCGAGTTGACCCTCTTATTTACACGTTTAGCCCTTCAACTTTATTTCTGAATTTCCGGGATGTTACAGCCACATCCTTAAATCAAACTGAAGTAATCGTACTAAATGAAGCTAGTAGAGCATGCACATGGTTATGATCGATGAGACGACTCATTTTATCTTTATGTGGACTAGATAAAGATATAGGTCCAACTTTAATTTTTGAAGATAACTCGAAATGTGTCACTTAAATGAAAGAATGATTTATCAAGAGTGACATGACAAAACTTATGCCTCCAAAGATTTTTGAGTACATTCAAGAGCTTATAAAATATCAAAAAGGTTGAGATAGAATATGTTCAATCCAACAACAATGTAACATACCTCTTCACGGAAGCACTTCCTACTGCACTCTTCAGAAAACATGTACATGGAATCAGAATGCGACATGTTGATAACACGTAATGTGAAAGATGTCTAAATGAGGGGGAGTCAACTATATACTACACTCTTTTTCCTTTCGTTAAAGTTTTTTCCCACTTGGTTTTCTTTAACAAGGTTTTTAATAAGACAGTACTTCAAGTTTGAACTCGGATTAGAAAATTGTCATCTAATTGGGAGTGAATTACATCAAATTATTGAGTTAGACAACGCATGTGGATGAACAATTTTCTCCGCTTGAATAATTTTCTTTACCAATTGAATCGCTATTTTGATGATGTAAGTATAGGATGTTATGTAGTCTAAATACCCATCAAATGTAAAGAGAAAATTACACAATCTTAAATACAATATTCTAAGTGTTCAAGAATCCTTTCATATCACCTTCTTTTGTTTTATAATGTTTTAGTTTAGTTTTGTTAGTTTTAGTTGGCTTAGGTTATTCTATTCAAAGTAATTATTGTGTTATTATATGCATAAATGTAGGCAATCAATTTTACTTATTTTAAGAAATTGATTAATATATATTATTGAATTAATTATAATTGAATAATATAACCTAATTTAATTACAAGGGTATTTTAGTCAATTAATATAGATTTAATAAAGGAAAAGTGCATATTTTAAGGGATCATAGTTTCTATTAATTTTAAAAATCTGATTTTACGAATTATAATTTTTTAATTCGGACATTCTGACAGAATGTGTTTTTGAGTATATTCAAAAATAAAAATATTCTTGAACCATAAGTAATAAAAATATTCTTGAACCTATTTCTTGATGATGACTTTAAAAATTTCTTGTTGAATAACAAATTCTTGAACAATTAATTGAATAATGAAAACAAAAAATACATTATTTCTTATAGAATACGGGTAACATTTGTTAAAGAATAAAACTAAAAAACTTTCAAAACAGGAAAGAAAACATCAAAATCTAACAACGACACTAATATATTCTAAAAGAATAATGTTGCTTAGAATCACTTTCAATTTTGTGGTCCGTTCTTCAAGCATCAACTTTTGTGAAAACACAACTAAATTGTAGTTAAGATTCCAACACAATTAGAATTCATGATTCCATTCCAACATAATTGGAATTCATGATTCCTTTTATCTTCTTCATTTCAATCTCAAAAAATGTATCACTCGTTTATGTTTTCTTTCCCTTAGATCACAATGTACTCCATATCTATCAAAATTCATAACTATACAATAAGATCATCAAGAGAATTGATTTTTTTATCTATTTAACTAGTAAAACTCAATCAAAAGAAACATACCCAATCAAAGAAGAGATCATCACCATTGTTCTTCCTTCTCTTTCTGTCAAATGAAGGAACCAAAGCCTTCCCTGTTCTTCTCATTTGTTTTTCTGCCAAAGAACACCACTAGAGATAGGTAAATTCCCAGTAATCAAGAGAGCAACAACCCTCTCTTGGTCATCCTTACTCATCACCGATTCCACAAGCAAAAGCCACTGATTTCTTGCTTCCATTACCATTAAAAATTAAACAAAAAAAAGATGAAGAACGAAGGGGCTATAGAAACAGCCCCCTGCTCACCTATTTCACTGCAACTCCCCTTTCCCCTTTCTATTTCAATGGTCAATAGCCCCATTTTCATGTTATCTTCCTTGTAAAAACAACAAACCCAAACACCCATCTTTTCCCTCTATTGATTTTTGTCTAAAAAAAAAACGGAAACAAACCTCAAAAAGCAGATGGAAATGCCGACTGTCACTACCCTAGATGACCCATTGCCGCCCTACAACTCCCATCTGCACCCACTGAAGGCCACCACAGCTTCGTTGCTTCTTCCTTCGGTCTAGCCAAACCCCAGAGGTCCTCCATTTTCACCTCGTTTTCTTCCTTCTCTGCTGTTTCCATCGACCACAAATCCCGAAGACCACATCGACTTGCGAAGCCGACCAACGAAAAACCATTGCTCCGTCCATTACTGTTTGCGTCGCTTCTTCAGATCCTTTTCATCTTTATTCCTTGACACCTAGCAGGCGACCGAGAAGAGCGCATCATCGCTCACCGTCGAAGGAAACCTACCGCTCGTCGATCACTGGCGCCCGTCGACGCTGCTACAGTGCCTCTGTCGCTGCTACTGCTGCTACCGACCGGTTAAAAATCCAAGTCACCTTTCTTTTTTCTATTTCGTTAGGGTTGCGTTATCATGCTCAAATGAAGATGAAGAGGTTTTCCTCCATCAATTATTTTTAGATGATCGGTGAGGGGTTTACGAACATTGAAAGCGTCGATGCTAGGGCTTTATCAGGTGGGAGATTGAAGACACGCTTATTTATTTAGGTTATAAGTCAATACCATGATTATAGAAATTATTTTTGGAACTTATTAAACAAATTACTAAATGACCCTGATATATTTATTTACTTATTTATTTTTTTTTTAATTTTGATTGACCTATATTTACGCATATAATAACACAATAATTATTTTAAACACCTGAACATCTCTCTCTCTCTCTTTCTCTCTCTCTCTCTCTCTCTCTCTATATATATATATATATATATATATATATATATATATATATATATATATATATATATATATATATATATATATATATATATATATATATATATATATATATATATATATATAAACCCAATCTAGAAAGCCTATGTTGACGACTATTAATAAAATCTCCATCTAGTTCGTCTGTGGATTAGCCAACCACCTCGATCGTGTGAACCACATTAATTTATTGTGTTCTTTATGTTCTTAGCATATTTACTGGACATGTTTGTGTATGTGTTTGTCAATCCTAAATCCTAAGGCCATGGGATATAGTTATTTTTTCACGCATAAGAATCCTATGTGGAGTCTAGGTGGGGGAGATGTTCATTAGTGAACATCGCTCCCAATAGAAGTAATGGTGGTGTGGATTGAAACCAATTACGGGTTCTCACACCCAATTAAAACTGTTTCGTTCTATATCTCTCTTCTTTCTCTCTATCTCTCTCTTATGTCTCCCTCTTGTTCACTAGTGAACACCACCCCATCAATAGTAAATTAGTTGTGAAGATGTATAGAGGATGATGTGGAATGCCTTTCACGCGTGTTGATACCCATAACATAAAACACATAATCTTTCTATAATTTCTCAAATTTGCCAATGGTAGCGTCCCACACAATTTAAAAAGGTGAAGAGAATGATGAAGTGTCATTTAATATACATGCCATGGATATGTTATGTTTATGATCAGATCTTACAAGTAAATATGTTAAATATTAACCACGTCACTTGAGTCTAAAAATCTCTCATTAGTACATTAACTTTCTATGTACAAAAATTCCCACTAGCATATTGACACAAACGAAAATATTCCTTGCTTTTTTATAAGCTTAATCCGACGATAAATTTGGACATTTAGTCGATTTAAAATGTTTTAAAACATAATTCAATTACTAAACACACGTGTTAGGATGCCAATAATTGCGATGTGATGACGTGGAGTCAATTCAAAACATCTATTTATAAACAAATATTTTAAATATACACATCACTAATAATCAAATAAAATTACAGAATTAAATGTCTGATAAAATTTAACGGAAACCGAAGGTTTATGTTAGAATCTTGCAATATTTTTTATATGTTTCACAGGTTTTCCAAAATAAGATAAAACTAGGTGTTTGTTTTCTGAATATTTTATAAGGAACTCATTTTTATTGCCTTCCCTTGACCTTTTTGGTGCGTTACCTTCTCTATTTGCCATGGGGACAAAGGGAATACACGATAGATCGATGAATAAGGAAATCTAACTACATTTGTGGCCTCAAAGTAAAGAGATCCATTACATCACCAACAAAAAAAAAAAGATCCTTCATGTTTCATTATCTACCTATATTTTAATATATTTTTCTTCCAAATCATCGACCCTTTCATTCCTGTCCTACGAATCCATATGTTCAGTCTACTGTTTCTTTAGGGTTTCCTCCATTTTTTCACTAGATCTACATGGACTTCTGCCATATGTTCTTAAAATTTCAAGGGTTTCTGTGTTAACAGTCTCTTTGCCCCAAATCTTGAACTCAAGTCTCTAGGTTTCCCTTGTTTCTTGCTCAAACTTGGTAAAGTTCCCTAATTTTCTTTGGTTTCTACTTCTTTTCTTTCCTCTTGAGTTTTTGCGATATGAAGTAGATTATCTTACTTTCTTTTTGTGTATGTTTTGCAGGAAATGGTGAGAGGAAAAGTTGAGCTCAAAAGAATAGAGAACACTACAAGCCGTCAAGTTACTTTCACGAAGAGGAGGAATGGCCTTTTGAAGAAGGCTTATGAGCTTTCAGTTCTTTGCGATGCTGAAGTCGCTTTGATTATTTTCTCTCAAAAGGGTAAACTCTATGAGTTTTCAAGCTCCAAGTACGTCCTCTCTCTCTCTCTCTCACACACACACACACACACACGTATTTGGGTTCAAGCATGTTTGCATTTTTAAGTATTTTAAATTAGTAGATGTGAAACTACATAGTAGGTGTATCTATATGAAGTACCAGTAAGCAAAGCTGCAGTCTCCAGTTTTGGTTTAGTTTTTTTATAAAATTTGGTTTGATTTGATTGTGGAGTTTCACTTGATCTCACATCTTTGTGAGACAGACTACCTACTCTTCAGTACCTTCTTCTGCTTTGATGGGGGCTGGTCACTATTTGATTACGGAGCTGGCAATTAATTTTTGGTTATTTTTATTATTATTACTATTATAATTCTCTTGCTTCATTGACCTTTGGATCATAGCTTTTGATCTCACTAAATTACTAAATCAAGAAGTTAGCCTTTTGTGTTTGTTTTCATGACCTTGATTCGGATATAAAAGTGGAACATAATGTTTTTTAAGGTTACTAGATATTACTAATATTGAAAAGATTTGGTTATCATTACCTAGAAATCGTGGGTTTAAGTTCTACATTTATGTGTATGAATGATGGATAACTGGAGTTCTGTTTCTTTGTATGTCGTTTTTGTGAGGAAGGTAGTTTTACATGCACACATCGCATGTTCAATTAAGGTCAAAGTAGTCGAGAGTTTAGTTTCATTATCAAAGATATAAAATATAACTTATACCAATGTAAGGAGTGTAACTATGGAGGTGGATGGAAGGCCTCTTAGATAAATAATAATTTATCTTTTTCGACCTTTTATCCAACATGATGAATGATGTGTAATGTTCGTACAGCTAGCAACATGTAGTTGTTGAGACATGTTTATCATCTTTCATCTTTTGATATTTTGATTTTAAGTTTAAATGTTATGTTTTTCCAAGAGTGGTAAAACCATTTGTAAAACGCCAAGTTCAAAAAAAAAAAAATGCAACTATAAAATTTCGGTAGAATACAATTATCATCAAAATATACAATCATCCAAATAACATTCGATGGTGAAACCGTTAATGCAACATAAAAATTGTAAAACAATAACTAAAGAAGATATATTATGTCAATCCATTTTATGATTCGCGATTATTTAGCAATAATGTTTTATTTTATTCAACAAATTATTATCTTCGAGTATACTCAGATACACCAATGAGTATACAACTAATTCCTGTGTGACCAAAGCCGCACCTAGTTGCTCACTTTTTTAAGAACGATTTTTTTTTTTTTTTTTTTTTTTTTTTTTTTTTTTGAAAAAGAAGACTCCGCTTAGCTTGTAAACAAAAGCTTCATAATAAACCTTGTACATCAAGGTAAAAGAAAGAATCAAAGAAAACTTGCAAGGATTAATTCTTTGATTCTCTTGTGAATACGTACAAAGCACAGAAAAAGAAATAAACGTACTGTGATTTTTGTTGAATTAATCAAAACTGGACCTAGACATATATTTATATTAAAAAAAAGAATCCTATTCCAATACCAAAACTAAAAGCAATTGTCTATACTATGTTTTCCTAAAATACCTTATTTAAACTACATATAAACAAATCCTAAATCCTAGAATGAGGAAAGTTTCCTATTAACCGATTAATCCAACACCACTAACAAGCAAAGAAAACAAGGAAGGCTAAGAGTACATGAGAGGCTTACGTACTAATTAAGCAGAACCGCTATAGAACTTAAGAAAGTGGAATATAACGACTTCAGGAATCGACTTTTGTTTGCTTGATAACCTGTATGATTTGGGCATGGAGAAGAATTCTTCACTGGAGTGCACTAATAAATGTTCACAAAACCCAACCTAAATAACACACACTTTTAATTACTGCTCGTTAATAACATTAAAGAAACAAAAAACGTGATCCCTTTTACCAAATGTTCCCTAACCCTAATTAACTAACTAACATGGGTTATAAATGAATAGCAATGGGCAAAAAACCTCAATATGAATAACATCCGTAGTTTTTGAGACTAGAATTAAGAAAAAAAAATTCACACACCAGAAAAATGTAAATGCTTTATCAGTCATTACACAGAAAAATGGACTATGATTAAGTGGAACGTGAAATATCGTGATTTAGGAGTTCAGAAGGAAACAAAGAGGGTATTCTCACATACGATGCTATATAAAAGTACATCAAGGAAAGAGCAAATTACACCGTCCGTCCCTCTGTCCATTTAAAAAGCCTGTCCTATCCTTTATAACGTATATATTTTTTCTTTTACTAATTATATTGTAATTATAATAAATAAAAAAGGGCCCATCTATCTAGCCCACCCAACCACCACCCTAGGCTTGACAATCGGGTTGGGTTTAGATTGTCGGGTCAGAAAACATAAATCAACCCAACCCATATAATATATGAGTTGGCGGGTCATGAGTTGTGGGTTGGAAGCCTCAACCCAAGCTAACTCATATAATTGTTCAAGTATATAGGTTCACGGGTTTACAAGTTAATGGGTCGATATTTAGATGTTTTTGCATGAGAGACATTTAGATGTTTGTTTTTGTCTGTAGATCTTTTTGGTTTTTTCTAGTCTGTACAATGGAGATATTAGGCTTCGTAGACTAATTGTTTTTTAAAGATTGTAGACCTAAAAAGGTATGTGTGTCTTTTTCTTAACATAGATGTGGATCAGAGTATTCAAACCTCTTCATATAATTCGTCAAGTATATAGGTTCACGGGTTGACAAGTTAATGGGTCGACATTTAGATGTTTTTGCATGGGAGACATTTAGATGTTTGTTTTTGTTTGTAGATCTTTTTGGCCTCTTCTTTCTGGACAGTGGCGATATTAGGCTTCGTAGACTGTTTGTTTTTTAAAGATTGTAGACCTAAAAAGGTATGTGTGTCTTTTTCTTGACACAGATGTGGACCAGAGTATTCAAACCTCTTCATACATCTTTTAGTCTAAAAAGCACAAATATCTTTGTTTTTTTTAACTTAGATTTATTCCAAGTTTATCTATGATAAACAAGTTGGAAAACAAAGTTACAATACTTAAAGAAAAAAAGGTTTGACGACATAATCATAACATTTTTAACAAATTTATAAATAAAGATTTAATTATAATAATGGTTGTTGGAGCTATTTATATAGATAAGGAAAAAATCATAATATTGTGTTATATTTTTTATGCCAAATTTTATAAACATTATTTAATGCATTATCATTTATTTCTTAAGAAAAATATTTATGATAAGTTTTTAATAGATTTAATTAAAAAGTAAAATATAAATTTTGAAATTTTTTATTTAAACCCAAAAGTTATTTTCATCTATTTTATGTGTTAAATTCTTTTATCCCTAATTACTATGCTTAGGTATAGATTTGCGACCAAAGTAATGTTTGTTGGTTTTTATCAAATATATACAATAATTTGTATCATTTTGTTTTAACTTTTTATACAATAATACATCAAAGTTGATTTATATTTTTAAATTTATAAAGTCGTAAAATAATTGAAATACTCTTTTAAGTTTTAAAAAACAAAAACAGTTTAATTAAATTTTAGTTTATTCTACCAGCCTGCAGATATTAAAAAACAAATAATCTTTTTTTTTCTGACTTCATACTTTTGGTTCACTTCTTCCACTGTAGCGGTTTGCAGATATAGTTCATAGACTGTAAACAATTTTGCTTCAGAAAGAAAAAAAAAAATAATAACGCCTTCGTGCTCTCTTTGTGGTAGCTCTTTTACCCATGTATTGTTGTTGATGCCCGATCTTTATTTTGGGATATCACATATTTTGACTTGTGTTTGTTTGTTGTTGTGTTAGTTACCTTGTTTTTGTTTCTGAAGGGGTTAATATTCTTCTGTTGTTTTTTTGTTTTTTTTTCAAGCCGTTAACTTTGGTCATTTCTAAATATGTTGTTATAATCATGAAAAAAGTACAATTAAAAAAAATACTCATTTATAGATATGTAGACGTAGTGTAAGGGGTTCTCCTTTTGAATAAATTGGTCCGATTCAATGTGATCAAGTTAATTGAAAATGATATATATATACACACACATATATATATATATATATATATATATATATATATATATATATATATATATATATATATATATATATATATATATATATATATATAAAATCATGACTTAATGTTAACAAAATAACACATTAAGACATTTTTTTAACGTTAAGTAAAAAAACAACATATACTACCATTAAGTTTTTTGACATTATGTTTATTAATATGTTTATTAACACTACCAATCATGTGTAACATAAATCAAACTTATACATATAATATATCAAAAAAGAAAAAAAAAATCTACATGTTTGACATAACCCACATAAATTTCTTAAATGATTAATAACTGACATTTATATATGGATTTTGTTTCTAGCATAGAAGGTCTATATCTCAGCAAAATCTACCGAATTCATCTTTTTTAATCTTGTTCGAGTTTCATGAAATGTGATATAAACGACGTAAATTTCTTAAATGATTAATCATTAAAATATTTATACTTTTATCCGTTTTAATTAGCATGCAGAAGACAATAGAAAAGTATCGTGCAGATGTCAAGAAAGATGAAATCTGCACACCTGAAAATGAAGTTCACGTACAGGTCAAGATTTATATACATTGTAGTATCATATACATAGTTAAGATTAATCATTGATATTTATACTTTTATCCGTTTTAAAAATGTTGTTTTAATTGCAGCAACTGAAGCAAGAAGCAGCCGCCATTCAACAACAAATAGAGCAACTTGAAATTTCCCAACGGTTATTATCTTAATTAGATGTTACTTTTCTTCGCCACAAATTTTCTTCTTTTTTACATCTTGTGCACATTGTTTCTGTTATATAATAACTTCTTTTTATGCTAAAAATGGTTTGTACAAATGAATATCTTAGGAGGCTTTTGGGACAAGATTTGGTATCATGTTCAGTAGAGGAACTAAGCCATTTAGACAGTAAGTTGGAACATACATTGAGAACCATTAGGGCAAGAAAGGTAATCAGAGATATGTACGTAATATATATATATATATATATATTGGCGATTATTCCATTTTAAGTTTTGGTCTCACTAACCTATTTTCTTTGGTTGATTTCAGACTCAGTTATTTAAAGAGCAAGTTGAAAAACTGAAAGCAAAGGTTTTAATTGTTCTAGCTCTTTAGAAACCAATATTAAATATATCCTCTTTTTACACGTTTTTCACTATTCAGGAAAGATACCTCTTGGAAGAAAATGCAAGATTGTGCAAAGAAAACACAAGTTTATGCCAAAAGGTACACAATATTCTATCCATAAACGTTTTTGTCTTCTTTTTTATCACTAATAAAAGAAAAGGAAAACCATGTCAGCGCATTGCAAATCCATCCCAAGCGTACTCAACGAAGCAGAAGGATCCAGTTACAAGCAACCAAAATAGCCAGTTTTCGGAAGTGGAGACCGAACTTTTTGTCGGGCTGCGCGTCTCTCAGAATTCTACAAATTTATAGTTTTAAAAAATTGGCAAGTTTGATCAATAACCCATCTCCATAAAAATAGGATGAATGTAGTTTTATGTGCATGAGAATCCGGCAAAACATGTAACAAAAATATGAAGATGTCAACCTTTCATGCATAGAATAAAAGGTTGATACATCATACATGTACTTTATATATTAATAATTAATAAGACCATCATTTCTTTTACGTGATATAGAGCTATATATAGAATTTTGTGCATGAAGTGTAAAACTTGGTTGGTGTGTAAATGTATCCAGGATCGTCTTTAGAACAACAAATTTTTATAGGACAATATAGTAGAGATTTCGTTTTTTTTTTAATTTTTTTAATTTTTTTTGCAAGATGTGGTTTGATTTGATTGTGGAGTTTGACTTGATCGATCCCGCATCTCGATAGATAGACTACCTAGTCTTTGGTAGGCTGGTCACTATTTGATTACGGAAGTGCTTTATGCAATTCATTTTTGGGTGCTTTATTTATTTATTTATTTATTTTTATATATATTATGCTTTTCT